TTTTTTTTTTTTTTTTTTTTTTTTAGTTTTATCTTTTCCCCCCTTACAGTAATGAGACAATGAAGGTCTTTTTCTCCTATTGAGCCAAAATTTCAGTTATCTTCAAACACATAAATGTACAGATATTCTCATATTTGTCACAGTCTTTACTATTAGTGTTCTGGGCCCTCAGCATATTTTGCTTCTGAAACAGACTTGGTTTAAAGACGCGGTCATTCAATATGGTGGTGGTCCCTCTCTCTTCCTACTCCACTGATTGCTGTTAACTTTTATTTTGTTGTTGTTAGTTTGTTTCATATAATTCTAATTAATTCAAATTGTGTGTGTATCTCCCTATATTTGTTGTTCTCTTGTCTTGAATTTCTCTCCATTTCCTATTAACAGGCCATTGAGGACGGCAATTTGGAAGAAATGGAAGAGGAAGTACGGCTGAAGAAGCGGAAAAGACGAAGAAATGTGGATAAAGATCCTGCGAAAGATGATGTGGAAAAAGCTAAGAAGAGAAGAGGCCGCCCTCCCGCTGAGAAACTGTCCCCAAACCCCCCCAAACTGACAAAGCAGATGAACGCGATCATCGATACTGTGATAAACTACAAAGACAGGTGAGTGCTGCCCCCTTGCCCTGGGCCTTCCCGGGACCTCCTGCGGGACCACCGAGCGGGAGCCACTGAGGCGCCCTGGGGCTTGTGCGTTCTTTCTACCTGTGTCTTGTGGCTTTCCCCGAAAGCCGGCGGTGGCCTTCTGCCGTGTTCAAAGTGGCCACTACTGCTGTCACAGATGATGTTTTTCTGTCTAGCGTATAAGCTATTTGGAAATAGGAGTTTAGATTACAAAACTAAGAAAACAGTTCAAACTGGAGGCTCTTAAGGACCTCTGAAGGACTGTCGTTTAGGTGGAAGGATTGCAATGGTAGAGTAAAATTTTGCTTTTGGGTTGAGTTGTTAGAAAAAGAATAGTCTTAGCATGTTTAAGGTAAAGATCTCATGTTAAGACTCTTTACAACCAAACAGATGCTTCATCAAAATTACTGTTCCTTCTTCCCTTCCAACACATTCGAATGAGCACTTGCTTGAGCCAGTCTTTCTCTTCCCTGTAACGCTACTATGTAGGCAGCGTGGCGGCTCAGAAAGCTGACCTCTTTTTCAGGGAACGTTTGAATGCGAACTTTGAAAAAATCTATACTGGACACTATCCCCAGACCATTTTAAACCGTGAACAATGATTTGAAAACCAAAACAGAGGTGTTGCAGGGTATCGGTCAGCCCTATCCAGTAGATCATCCAGTTAGGCTACACTCTGGTTAGTTGATTTGGTTTCCATTTAATAATCGTGTGATGCAATTTTAATGGGAAGATCCCATTTCATTCCAGTTGAAAAATGGATAGGAAACAAAACAAACATTTTATTTCTCTAAATTGCATAGTGGTGTTAATCACTTTTCAGTTACCAATTTTATTTTATTTTTTTACATTAACTGGTGTTGCTCTCTATACCTGGAAGTGTTCAAAACAAATAACTAAGTTGTGGTTTTAGTTTTTCATTGTGACTTTAGTGAATGTGTTTTACCAGGAAGAAAACTTCATTATAAAGATTAGTCAAAAAAGCAAGAAACTTTGAACCATGGGGTTTTATTGTTACGTCTTTATTATATCATCTGTAAGGAGTTTTCAGAAACAGTAACAAGTGGGTGGGAGGAGATGTGTGTGGAAGGGTCAGAATAATTGGCCCTCCTTTACCTAGGTCCCCGGCTTCCTATTTTCACTATCTTCTGTTTTTGTGAAAAGTGGATCGCCTTGCAGAATTCTGAAGTAGCCACAAAGGACAGCCCCATTATATTGGGTCTGGGTGGGCTGCTCATCGACACAGGGGAATGACAGCAATCCAGGAAGGAAAATTTGGCCACGAGTCCATTCTCTTACTACAGTGAACAGCAAACTTCCTTATAGACCTAGAGTCAGTAACTCTCTCCGTCAAGTTTCTGTTTACCCCCAGCCCGACTGGTAGGTTTGCCACAGGCAGGAACAGTTTCCATCCAGGAGGCCAGCTTGGACAATGATACCTCATTTTATCAGCCCCCGGTGTAAAGAAAAACGTAAGAGACTGTCACTCTGCATATAATTCTAACTTTTTTTGCCTTTGTCTCAGGAGAGCAAAATGTATGTGTCTTTTTGCCCAGGTGTGCCACTGGTATTTGACAGGCATCTGGTTCCATTAACCTGCTGAGTGTGAGTGTAGGGCTGCTGTGGCGCTGAGAGCAGCCAAGAAAGTCCCGGGAGGTTCAGAAGCCAGGCCTGTCTGTTATTCCAGGTGATGGCTATCTCCCTGTGATGGCATAAAAGAGGTCACCAGCCAGTGAGCCAGATTGCCAACAGATTGTTTTATTTCTTGTCTCACATAGTTTTTTAAAAAGTTAGAGCGCTTTTTTGAAAAAACTTCAGAGGATTTTTCTTACCCCTCCCCCTCTTTTTTGAAAAACCTAAAAATCTGGCAGCACTACCCAGCTTTCCCTCAGTCAGAGTGAAGACGCGGATGCCTCCGCTCTGTGGGCTCTTGTGCCTCCACTTTGCCACGATCCCCATCACCCACTCTCATTCCTCCAGTATGAGTATCAGTTACCATTTAGCATCATGCTTTTCACACCTGGCCCCCTCCACTCATTTATATTATCGGCTGGCTCCACAGCCTTTTGAGTTTGCGATTTACTGATACCCATGTCCGTAGACTTGACCACTTTCCTAGAAACCACCCAAAATACAGAGCAGTATAAGGTTAGGTCCCTTAAAAGTCAGCCAGGCATAGCACAGTAGTTTAGAGCACAAGCTCTTGTCTTGATTTAACTACCTGTGTTTGAATCCTAACTAGCATTTCCTGGGG